GTGGTCTTGTGACGTTCGGGAGGGAGCGAGAAACAGGACACGCGACGCGGGCAGGTCTTTATTTTTATTATTATTGGACGCGGGTAGGTCGCTGTCAGAGTGGCCGGTCGCTCCGGCGAAAAGTAAATCCGGTTGCTGTAGCTATTTTACTATACAAAGTTCGTACTGGTGTAGACCTTTAGCGACAACGAGTGAAAGTCTGGAATAAATAAAAACGTGCTCTCCTGGCGCAAGAGACGCAGTGGTTGAGATGCCGGCTGACTCCACTGCTATTGAAGTAACGGAACAAAGATACGCTATTTGATCATTTACTGTAGTAAAACAACTGAGCGCTAAAGGCTAATTTTAGAGCAGCCAGAAATATTCTAAGAACGCGAACCACTTCATAACGGCAGCCACGAGCTAGAGATCGATGTTCGGTTCAGCCTGCCGGTAACGCCCAAAGATGGAGAACGGAAACCTCCGGGTTTGTTGTCTGTTAGCGGAGTCGGGTTCGTGCCCTCTCTCGTTTTACCCCGCCGAACTTGCTGAACTTCCCAGATGTGTGGAGAGGGCACTGTGGTCTAACAAAATGGTGCCGCCCTGAGAGCTCTAAGTGGAATGGTCTATAGGAGAAAAATGAGGAGGCGCCATTGGCCGAAAGCGGGCTGGGCGTGTTCCAGCCTCCAGGGCGTCTTCACAAGTTCGAATGTGGCCAACCATAAGTCGGAAATAATACCCTGGCGGTGGTCGCGAGAAACAAACATGATAAGTGCGTCAGAGTAACTCTCGGTGACTGAAAATATGGTGCACGTGATTTTCAATCATGGTCATCAAAAATCATGGTAGCCAAACGATCGACATAGTCCGTACGCCAAGCCCCGGGGGCCGGTAATGTGCCGTCCGAGCGGTCACACTCTGTCCGAGCAAAACAGTTGAGCGGCGCGTTCGTTTCTTACATCTTTCTGCATGATCATGATCGAAATATCACGTGCACCCTATTTTCAACCATAAAGTGTTACTACACTTCAGGGCCGTACCCAGAAAAAAATTTCGGGGGGGGGTTTTCGGGGACAACGGCGGCCATTTTGTCTTATTTTCGCCTATGAATCATGTGCATCGGTGGCATATAATGGAGAGTTATAGCAAACCGAAGAACCGGTCCCCGTTTGGTACCCGGTAGCCTACCGGTGTGACTGCGCGTGCGCAGAGGTGGAGATTAAATTCGGCTGGCTGCAAGTGCACCGACCAGGGCCGTACCCAGAAAAAAATTTCGGGGGGGGGGGGGGGGGTCAGAACCCCCTAACCCCCCCCCCCCCCCCTGGTTACGGCCCTGCTACACTTCACTCTTACGCGCTTATAGACCCTTTCAGAAATTCAGTGCCATCTGGTGGTTCGTAAAGCAGTTTAGGTTTTGCCCTATCAATGGCGGAAATGAACTTGTATCGGCACCGTCACTTTCGCAAGTCGACGGCACGCGAGGAATTGTTCAGTGGGAGTTCTTTCTCGATCACTTTCAGGTTGATGGTGACCAAGAACGTGCATTCAGAACAAAGTTCCAACCCACTGAGATGCCTCGAGAAAATTCTATACACCAAAGTGCTTTAAAGCCGATTGTGTGCCGCCCATAGATTGACTGAATCTGAGCAATTAGAAATAAACGCTTACGTAGCTCTTGTGTTCCAGCCCTACTTCGCTTCGTACTGACCCCCGAACGTACAGGCCTCGCAATATCCGCTTAGGAGCATCTTCAACGTCTTCCTTTATCAGTCACTAGAAGGCCGCCATTCGTATGGCACAGATGCCGTTCCACAGATGATGATAGTGATCAAAGTGGCCAGACTGAATTTCGGAAAGGGTCTATTAAAACCATATACCAACATATACCTTGAACCAAACAGTTTCTCGCTACCACCGCTAGGGGACTCTTTTAGGCTTCTGGTTGGCCAAGAAAGCATGTCTAGCCCACTTCCTGCGTCTGGTGCACGCCCCGGCTCTTCCTGCGCCTCCCATTGACCAAACTCTGTATACACGGCTCTGAACTGCCGGGGCCGCTGCCGCCATCTGTCGGTCGTTGCGCCAGTTAGCAAGCGGGCGTTGTATGTAGGAAGTTTTAGAGCGCAGCTCTTAGGCGCCCGTTTCCAGCTTGAGCGGCGTCGCCGTCGGCGTAACCGCGCGGTGCATTATAGATGAATTTCCCCGCTAAATCTAGCGGAAAAATTTCCCCGCTAAATGTAGCGGAAAACTTTTTTTGGGGGGTCACGTGACTCCCAGGTCACGTCCCCCCCCAAGGTCACGTGACACACCCCCAGGTCATAACATTGCTCGTCTGCAATGTACAGGATGTCACAAAAGAAAATTTACAGTTTTTTTTTTTTTTACCGCAATAATAAACTAGACATCGCCGAACGCTCATTTTCCGCCAAAAGGTAGCGCTAGAGGTCATAACCAGATGCCAAAGTTTCAGCCCGATCCGATAACTTAATCAAAAGTTATAAGTGAGTTTCTAAAAATTTAAATGGGAAAATGGAGCCTATTTTTGCCTGTTTTCGGTTTCTGGTGCCCATAGAGCCCCATGTATTCAAAAACTCCGTCGGCCGCCATTTTCCCATTGAACTTTTCAGAAAATCACTTATAACTTTTGAATAAGGTATCGGATCGGGCTGAAACTTTGGCATCTGGTTGTGACCTCTAGCACTACCTTTGGGCGGAGAATGAGCGTTTGGCGATGAGTTTATATTTGCGGTAAAAAAATAAAAAAAAACAAAAAAACTGTAAATTTTCTTTTGTGACACCCTGTACATAACATCAAAGACGCTATCTTCTTCTTTTTTTTTTTCTTTCCTACTGGAGCTAAAGCCCCTCTATCCTGGGAAAAGTGGCGCCATTCATTGTTGTGGAAATGCTCGAGATACGTGCCGCGCGCCACTTCTGGGAAGAACATGGCGTCTCAAAATCTAGCTCAGTGCTGCGTTGTGCCGCCATCTTCCCAAGGGCTGCACGTGGCACGTCTCTCGTGCATCGACGCACCTTGCGCTACTTTTCAAACATGAAGTGGCTTTAACTGGAGCGAGGCGTCAGCGCTGCACCACCGCATTAGAGTGAAGCAGACACCTGCACTTCATTGAAATAAAGTCACTAAATACGGTTGCTCGTTACTCAAAAAGTAACTAATACCCCTGTTACACGAGCACTCTTAACCGTGGTTAACTCAGCTTTAACTGCTGTTACGTGGCACCACAGTTACCGCACTATACTCTCGGACAGCTATTTCAGAAGAAGTGGAGAGCGCTCGTGCACTGCTTCGATGTGTGCTCAAGATTCTCTAGCGCACGTTCGCCCATAGCTTTGACTGCATAGTCGGAGAATGTTGTCGGCCAGTATTGTGCGCTAACTGTGGCTTAGCGTAACTGCAGTTAAATGCACCCGTGTAACAAGGGTATAAGTACGTTATCCGTTACTGCGATTCAAAATTGTTTTTGTTTTCGCCTGCTGAGCATTGTAAACGGATGTTAGGGCCACGTCCGGCAGATCTGGCTTTTGCACTGTTACCCTGGACCTATAATGTCTAAATAAAACTATTTAAATTAAAAAGGAACGCGTTCTATTCATTTCGTTTTTATGAAGCAGTATCCGCTTGCAATATTTGTCGTCGTTAATACTTTTTTTAACGCGTTCATTTTGGTATGACTGTGGCTATAGAGAGTGTTCACTTGATGCCACATTGGAGGGCGATGTTAAGAGCGCATGCTCAGGGCGAGCTCACATTAATAAGCTGCTAAGACAGGCAATCTTGATGGTGGAGAATGCACGTTGCAAAAGAACTGTGGAAGCTCGCCTTCAGCACGCGCTCAGCACCCGCGCACACAACTATGGCCGCCCTTGTGCATATTTTGTTTTAGGGGCGAAGCTCCTTAGGGTCTAGCCTTGTCCGTCCGACGTCCGGCGTCCGGCGTCCGTGCTCACATCGATTGCCCATCCCATCTGTCTCCTAAAAAAAAAGGGAAAAAAATGTTTGCGCAGTCGACAGGATTCGAACCTTGCGGGGAGACCCCAATGGGATTTCTAGTCCGTCGCCTTAACCACTCGGCCACGACTGCGGGACGAGTAGGGGGCTCTGAGGTGTGGTAGTAACTCAAGAGCTGGGGATGTCAAGGATGAAACGTTGCATGTAGCCGCTCAACTTCTATACAGGAGAGGGCGCTGCGGTCAGATGCGTATATAATCGCGTTAAACTTTGCATGCATTGGCTCAACGTTTATAGACGAGAGGGCACTGCAGTCAAATGCTCAAAGGCGTATATAACCACGTTCCATTCCACACATTCCATACCAACGGAACCCGGAACTCAGCACTATACCTACAAGCAATAAAAAAAAAAAAAAAACAGCACTATCAGCACTGCCTATGAACAAAATCAGTATCATCAGCACCACCAGAGCTTCGCCCCAATCAACATCATTCACCACGTGGAGATGCGGTCATTTTTATGGTCTATCTAGACGTTTTTCATCGTGCAAATAGCAGGCGTGAGCCTAGGTAAGAAACAGGCTGGGTACTCGTTTTGCAGACGTTCCGCTCCAGAAGTATAACTAAATGCCGTTTCCCGTTGCTTTATCAAAAGAAAAGTTACGAAAATAACAAAATACACTTCAGCACTTATGAATTGTGAATGCGAAAGCATGTACACCATTCTTACTGTACGCGTGTTGGCGCGCTGATTGGCGCTGCGTGTCCGGCGAATGGGAGCCTGGTCGACGCGCGCTAGCCATTGGGATCGAAGCGGTGTAAAAGCACCTCCTCCAAAGCAAAGCCGGCGAATGGGAGCCGGCTTTGCTTTGGAGGAGGATTTAAGAGCCGTTTGCGTGGTTTCAAGGCTGATGACGTCGGCTCGCTCCATGAGACCAGTTCAAGCTTTCGCATTAGAAATGTTACGAAAACTATGTAACGCATTACTTGTAACGGGTTACGTAACGAGTCCATGGCGTGACGTCAGAAACACGAGTTTCAAGAGGACTCACGTCCAGGTAGTCGATGCAGTAGTTTTCCTTGGGGTGGATCACGGTGTCCAAGTCGTGGACGGAGACGACGATCCTGGCCTTCGTGCCTTCGACGGCGCTCTTCTGGTCTGGACGGACGGCGAGGACTTTGATGGCGGACGCGCATCCCTTCACTTCGGTGAGATTTCTGGTCCTGTAGGCCCGGATCGATACAGAGGACCGTTCTCCATTCGCCTCTAGGAACACTGTCTCGAGTTGCGATTGATTGCAGTAGTCTTGCATGTAGTCTGCGAGGAGATACAAATTAAGAACCCATTTTATTGGAGTGTATGGGAAGGGTGCCATAGTGATATTAACCCGAGTCTAGGGCATGAAGAGGAGAAAAGTTTACAGTGGTGGAAAAGGAAGTAGGGAACATACAACGTCTCAAACTCAGTTACTGCTTTGGTTCAGTCACCCTCCCTATATACCCACAAACGCATTGCCACCAGAACCCAGGAACATAGGCGTAGACTTGGGGGGGAGGGGGGGGGGGGGCGTCAGGGCTCGTGCCTCTTGTAGAATCTGGGAAGGGGAGGGGGGCAGAGCCCTCCCCCCCCCCCCCCCTCCCCTGGTCATGAACCTTGCCGAGGCGCTGTTTGCGCGTAACGTTTGCGTGTAATGTAACGAGCTTCTAGTAGTGGCATGTGAACAAATTAACGCCCACGTTGCTTTTATTGACAAAATACATGGGAGGTGGAATCCGAGCGTGCTTTTTTTAGCTTCAATCTCTAGTTCTGGCGAGAAGGTAACGCGGCATCGATCACTTTTACGTCCGCTTGGTCTGCTTCCACAGCAGCCTGCCATTTTGCGATGTCCCATCAGAAAAAAAAAAAAAAAAAAAAAAAAAAAAAAAGACAACCGGACGTTCATATAGAGGGGCGGCTACTCCGTCCGGAGCTGTTCCAAAAGTCCGTCTAGTAGCGACTGCGACGGAGTTACTCGAACCGGAGTCGTGGAGTCATAATTTAAACGATCCCAATGAAGCGATAGATGATTCAGTCGTCCGCGAAGAGCCGCATGCTTGAAAAAATATTAGTTGGCAAGTCGTTAATAAAAAATTAGAAAAAGTAATGGACCAAAAGCACTGCTGTTACAATGATAGCTGAAGAAGATATACGTAAGCTGTAAAATGTACTACCTAAAACAAACTACTGATAATTGCCGGTGTAAACAAAAAATTGCGCAGAAAAGCACTCCCCCCCCCCCCCCCCCCCCCCCCCCCCCCCCCCCGGAGAACTTCTCAGCCTGCCCCCTCCCCCCCCTCCCACCCCCCACACACCCTGGGAAAATGGAAAGTCTACGCCGCTGCCCAGGAAATCAATTGGTTTTAACAGCAGTTAATTGAAAAAGTAGATGGACCCATAGCCAGTTGGCTAGTTTGGGCTCATGAAAATGTAGCATACGAGGCCTGAGGCGTAATAGGGTGAGCAACACTGGTTGTTAAATAACTGGGCGGAAACTTAAAAAGAAATATACGAGGCATATAATTGTAGGAGCCATACTAATTTTAACCAAGGGGATAGTTATGGGGTTGAGGGTAATTTAGGAAAGCGAAGGGGTTATTGCTTGGCTAAAATATTAGTGCAAACATTCTGCTTTCCAATAACCCGCACGAAATCTACACTTGTTGGCATGGCGTGTCCTTGGAAAGTAAAAATGTTCTGCGATCTGGTGGTGATATGCGTTTCTGGATTGAGTATAAGGAGGGTGTTTCAGTAAACGCAGTGGTTGAGTTTGGGACGTTGCCGTCCCTTACTATCTTTTTCTACCACCGCTAACTTGTCCTTTTTCATTCCTAAGTCGTATCAATATTGTACCAACTGCATTTTGTCGGGCAAATGGCGCTGGAAGTGGGCACAGCGCATGCGCAGTAGTAGCCGGCGTCACCACATTGTGACGTCAGAGACGTCAATGGTTAAGAACAGCTTACCAGAGAAAGCTCGGTTCTCGAGTACGGATCGGTGCCACTTTTTCAGGGCAGGCTCTATGGCAGTTTCCCAACTGAGTGGTTCTAGTAACGTTGGCTGGAGGCGTCCGCCATTAAATTGCAAACGCTTCCTTTGGTTTGAGATGCACCCTCTCTATAATCCAGGCTCTCTAGCGACGATCGAACACGCTGGCGCCATCTATGAGGTGACCCTGGAACCGCATTTAACTAAAACGCAGGTTTTGAAGGGTTCGCGATGTGAAATGTACAAACTATCTTTGAGAAATATTCGTTTATAACATTGTAAGAAGCTTTCAGCCTTTCCACTCTGGTGAAGAAGGAAGAGGCGGTGGCTTTCCAGGTGAGCGATCTGCTCTTCTTTCGCACGGGAATCTGAAGCTCTCGACGCAGTGGAACTTTAGGCGATAGCGACTGTTGCGGTACCATCCGCGCTGCTGCGCACATCGCCACTCGTTCCGCTCCCGCTCTTCCTCCGAAGAAAGGTTGCCGCCATCTAGGAGCGGCGGCAACCAGTTGTCTGGTTGCCGCCGTCACTCATAGATGGCGGTAGCTGTCCAGAGTTCGGTGTCATCATTTCTAATCCGGCGGACACCATTCCGGGGAAGCTAGCCCTTAACAACTCCGCTGTAAAAAAAAAAAAAAAAAAATCTTTGTTAAGCCAATAAAAAAGTGATGCACGAAAGAAAAAAAGAAATATATGAAAATTCAAAGTGTTCCATACGGTTACTCGATAGATGGCGTTAGTGTGTTCTCTCGCCGTAAGAGATCACAAGAGGTTGTAAAATCACTCGGTCGTAAGCAGTAATACGTAGGCTTAGCGTTTGCTTCGTGACTGCACGAACAGAGTTCGCGAAGTTAAAAGCCAATATATTATTGCGGAGTCTTTTGTTCTTACTCGTTTTTATAGAGTTACGCGGGAGATGCATACGTTGCAGATGAGGTTGTGTATTCTCGTACTATTATATAGAACGTCAATTTACGGTTGCACAGGTGCAAGTTGCTGTTGCTCTAGTCTGATGCATGCAATTAAGGGCCTGAATTCGCGCCAGAACAGTCTCCATCGACATTGGATTCAAGTGCCAGTGATCGTTTCGTGTGATTGACGGCTCACTCGAGATGAAGAGAACGTGTGCACAGTTGGAATTCCGATCGACGATACTTGTATTTGTCTGTGTAGATAAGAGGGCGAGACAAAAGAGGCCGCACAACAGATGAGGGGTGGCTTCATGCCAATTATCGGAGTTCATTACCTGAGACATGAGATAGTGGTATTGGCACGAGCTTCGACAACATCGGTATAGAGAGCGTGTCGGAAGAAAAATATCGGTTGCACGAAGTTATCAGGAGTGACAGCAAAGCGGGACTTGGAGACTTTTGTCGATCGGTGATTCCCCGAATGGATGCTATGACAACTTCAAAAAAAAAAAAGGGGGAACTATGACAATTTGTGTAACAGCAAAGCGGAACGCGGAGTCCTTTGTCGAGTGAAACTATGACAGCTTGTTTACAAAAAAGTTTGGCAACAGAGAGGGACGCGGAGTCGCTCATCAGAACGCGATTCGTCGAATAAAACAATGACAACTTGTCTAAACAAGAGGGGTAATATGCAGCAAAGCGGGACACGGGTAACTCATTGGAAGGTGATTCGTCGAATGTCAACTCGTCTATGAAAAAGAGCAACAGTAAAGCAGGGGGCGATGTCTCGTCGAAAGGTGATTCGTCGAATGGAACTATGACAACTCTTATAAATAAAGGACAACAGTAAAGCAGGGGTGTCTCGTCGAAAAGTGATTCGTCGAATGGAACTATGATAACTTGTTTAAATAAAAGGCCACATTAAAGCAGGGGGCGGAGTTTTCCGCCAATAAGTCATTCGCCAAATGGAACTATGAAAACTCGTCGAAAAAAGTAAAATCAAAGCAGGAGGCGAGGTATTTCGTAAACAGGTAATCTGTCAAATAAAAAAGCGGATATAAAAAAAAAAAAATGATTGGGCATTTTAGCTTTTTACAGCGAGATTTTCGTCAACTCTTCCTCGAAAATCGTCTCTAGCATTACGAATATTATCCTAAAGTTTAGAGGTTTCTGTCCCTGACTTGTCCTGGAATCCTCGTTCCCCCCCCTTTTTTTTTTACATTTCTTTGGGCATTTATTGCTGCTTTCCTTTCTCCAGAAAATCATCATCCGTAAAACGAGGCGATTTGGTCCATGGTACAATCGGAAATAAACAGCGGGCAAAAGAATACGGACAAGGACAACAGGGATGCGAACGACGCAAGCTAGCACCTCCTAGACAGCAAATCCTGCGTGTTACGTCACATGACGTCATGTCCGGGAGGCCGGCACGGGCTCTGACTGGATGCGAGTGCAGCGTCAGCGTTCGCGTGGGGCTCGTTTCCTATCATAGTCCCACGCGAACGCAGACGCGGCACTCGCATCCAGTCAGAGCCCGTGCCGGCCTCCCGGACGTGACGTCATGTGACGTAATGCGCAGGATTTAAAGCTGTCTAGGAGGTGCTGCGCAAGCGTTGAACTCACGACTAAACATTTATTAAAAAAAAAACAAAAAAAAACACCAAGGTGTCGAGGTAAGCAACATCAACATGCATGTGTCAAGGTAAGCAATTTGCGTGCGTGCGTGTGTGCGTGTGTGTGTGCCTGTGTGCGTGTGTCTGTGTGTGCGTGTGTGTGTGTGTGTGCGTGTTTTTGTGTGTGTGTGTGTGTGTGTGTAGATAAACTGATGTTTTGCTGACATATGCATCTTGCCCCTCTTTTGTTATCGCATACGCTTGTAATAATTCTCTGGTGGTTTTATCTGCCCCTCCCGAGGATGGTGATGTTGAATTTGGGCTGGCACTTACAAGCAGCACAATGCAGAGGCAAGTGATCCCCAGAGGCAAGTGATCCCCGCCATTTGTTTCATAAAATTTTTCAGAAAATCGCTTACAAGTTTTGAATAGGATAAGTATTGATGCTGAAAGTTTGGCATCTTGCTCAAACGGCTCCGGCTACGTTCTGACGGAGTTCGAGCTCTCCGCGAAGTCTAGTATATTTTTGCGGTGCGAAAAACAGGGTTCAGATTTCTCGCAGACACCCAGTGTTGACTGATTGATTATAATGCAGTTAAATACAAAGGTGCAAGCGAGCTGGACAAGAATGACGAAACACTCCCTGGAGAAGGGGAGCAAGAGGGACAAAGGACAAACACAAATCTCCAAACGCAGCTATAGGTGACTGGTGCGCGACTGAAATACCCGGACTAGGCGGATTTTGGACTCACGACTAAACATGATTATGTGGTTGGTGTGGCGGACACGAACCAGGGGAGATCGTGCTGGACTCTCTGCTAAAGTTCATTCGAGACGCCGGTATCCGGCACTATTTTTAAACATTTCATCCTCATTGTATTCCCCATCTCTCACCTCTCACGTTTCCCACAAATGCCTTGATGTCAAGGTGGTGGAAACATCATTATAGGATACGTCTTAAACAAACAAAAACGATTTCAAGTGACACCAACCCCGAGGGCGATTCTTACACCACGGTATTACCATTGCTGAAAGTTGCGAATATAAAACACGTTTTCTACACCGGTGTGAGGTGCAATCATCTGCGTACAGACGAGCCCAAATGATCCAGTTGACCTCGCGTCTGTGGCTTTTATCGGCCACCGTTGGCTTGTTTAGTGGCTTGGTTAGGTCCGTGGACGGTTCCAAACGAGTCGCAACTTTTGAGTCTGACATAACGAGTCAATCTTTAGCGTTGTCTTTATTTCGTTCACGGTTCCCGAAAGCATATAACGAAATCACTCACACGTGTTGGCTGCAAATCCGACGCCGAAACAGCTGAGCAAGACGAGCAGCGTTCGCGAGTAACGCTTCGCAGAGGGAGCCGCCATTTTGATACCACTGCGCTCGTTCTCCGCGCGTCTGCCTGGGGTTATCGGTGTAGGTTTTGTGTATCTCTGTGTTACGTGCGATGCCGTTATCGGCACCCGCTAATAAAAGAAAAAGATAAGGAAGCAAAGAGAACCGTATATCGCAAATGTTCAGATGCCCTTCACCGTTCGATTGCTATGCGACGGTGTAAGAGACAAAGCGGTTTTATCAGCCCGCGATCGCGGTGATCACGGCGGGTAGTGGTGAAAACAAGAATTCTCTCGTGACTCATAATCTAAGTCCCGAGGCGAGGAAAATGAAAGAACGATTAGCACGACGACGCAAAAATAGATTGTGACCTGTCGCCCGTTCTTTTATTTTTCTTTGTTCCGAGATTTGGATGATTTTATTATGTGCCCAAGCCGAGCGTGGCATGCGCTCCAGTGCATTTCACTGGAGCGCATGTTTCGCGGTGTTTGCGAGGTAAAATTTACATACTAACAACGAGATACGGTCGTTTATGACATAGACAAAAGTGTTTCGAGCCAAAGAAATAAAGAACGATGTGCGAAAAAATATAAAATATGTGGGACCGCAAAGTGTTTCGCGGCTTCCCGTTAGAGCCGTAACCCGCAACGAATATCCCTAAAGGAGTTTTGTTTTCATTTATAAACGTATCGCTTTCATGCCAGGTCGCATGTGTACGTTTCAGAATGAATATTGTATTGTTTACATCGGAGGGAGGAGGAGTGGTCACTCGATACGTGTTTTAGAAAGAAAAGTATAATTACACGGTTTGGGGTATTTCTTATTTTCATTGACTGACACTCGGTTTGGGGTGTACGCTATTATTCGCTTTGATTTTATGTGTTGATAAAATATAAACTGCCTTTTTGTGTAAATGTGCACATGTCATGATGTTTCCCGAACACGCGTGCCAATGGGTACGCCACAGATTTTACGAAGTGTCTTCTTCACTGGTAATGCGTCTGTGTAAAAAAGGCGTTATCCGCGTTCGACCTTTTTTTGGTTTGGCAACATTCCGTAGCGCCATCTCACGGTAGCCTCTGGCACTTTTCCTGTCCGTGTATATTCCCTATTTTTCACTGCTTCCGACAATGCGATAGGCGGTAATTTCGCGAAGGTAGCGCGAGAATTGGATTTCGTACTACTGTAAAAACCCGTTGCCCGCAGTTCAGGACCGGAAGTGACACTGGCGCCACCACGTTTCAACTCACGCGAAAAAAACCACCGCACTGTGTGTGAGGAACGCGTGTGCAGCGCGGCGCTAATTTGGATAAACAGCGGCGAGCTTAGAGCGTTGATGCGGCACCGTCTCCTGTTTCGTATGTGAGATGTTAGGGAGCCATGCTTTGAGTTCCCTAGAGTATATGGCTATTTACGGATCGAAGAACCCTAGGGTTCTCCAAACGGCTTGGGGCGTCGCACTGCCTTATGCAGAGAAGCTATGTGCCGTGCAACGCACGAGCGCTTTGATTTTGAGCAGATTCCAGGTTATTGGCGAGAAATGTAAAGCTTTGATCCCATGCCGAACATGCATACCGAAGTTTAGAGCTGACGGGGGTTTTGTAAAGTAGAAGTTTTAAAGATGAAGATGCCATAGATAAGTTACGACTTTATGTATGCGAGCATACGATTGGAGTTGTTTACTAAGTATTACCTAGGGCTGTACCATTTTTTTTTTTTTTTTGCGTTGACTCGGTTGGTTTGAATACCGGACAAAAACCGCATCCCAGTGAGCTTTTGCCTGGTTACTGATCAGTTCTGACTACATTGTCAAATCGGGGCTGGCTGCCGTGTCCTTGTGATAAGTCACCAATCCCTCCTCTCGCCTACGCGCTATATTCATAGATTGGAGGTGAAGTCATCGTATGGTGATGGTCATTCCTATACTTGTTACCGAGAAAATCAGATTCCGTGTTGCTCAATGCCTGCTAAGAAGCTATACGCGTTGTGCAGCAAGACCACCGCAACGGCCGCTGATGTGACATCACTGCAAGCCGCGTATTCGAAGACTTACGCAGAGGCGTTTACTTGGGCAATTTTCGGACCTTTACTCACGTCGAAATTTTATCGCTGACTCGGGCCACTGACTCAGAAGCATGGCGACATGCCAAGCGATGCCAACTATTATAATGTCTACCGACGCGACTCTGTCGGTTTTTTTTTTTTCTTCGGATTTTGCATGTATTGTTTGCGGATAGGGCTTAGAACGCCCTCCGCTGACCTTGGACAATGTGTAAATATAAATGTCTGCCCGTTGGATGTTAAGATATTCTTGTCGCGGCTCCAATCTCCGCAAGTCTATGCGTCATATCACAGACGTTATTTCAATAAACGCATACAAAAAAAAACAAAAAAAAACAGGGTCGTAGTGTTAGAGTTCCTACGTCACCGATCGAAGACCGGCGTGGGGCACATTGGATTGGAAAGACGTGCGACTAAAATTTTGGTTGCGCGTTGCGCCTTCCCCGCAATAGTCCTCCGTCAGATCCAGACAAAGCTGCCCTTAGCAGTTTTGTCTGCGGGACCCTTTCAATCTACGACTGGAAAAATAACGCTTTCTATTTCAGATCCGTCAAGGTTGTGCTACCTGGTCCCACGAAAGCTGACGCAGAATAGCATTTCTACGGAGTGGGTCGCCAGACACGAGAAAAAAAGTAAAAAATAAACAAAACAACAGACACACACACGCACATACGCCCCCTGCCTCGGTGCCCCGGTTTCCTCTTACGCGAATAACGACACACAGATGCACACAAAAAAGACAAAAGAATACAAACGAAGATGACGTCAGAAACATTCCGATGGGCCAATGAGATGCGTCTACCTGCGTGGGCATAATGCCGGTCGAGCGCGACGAAAAAAGCGACGGTATGGTGTAGCAACGCTACATCGCGCAAAACACGTACGCAAGAACAAAACAAAAACAACAAAAAGGAGATAGAGACACGAGAAGGATGAGGAAGTATAGCGCACGGCGGTCGGACAACACTCGGAGTCCGGTCACGATTCGTCGTCTCTTCCAAACGGCGTCCCAGAAGGTCGTGGCGGACGTGGCGGGTGACCGTGCGCCATGCTTCGCTTCGCTTCGCGGGGGTGACGAGGGAAAGCGCCTGATTGGTCCACGCCCCCGCTCTATACACACGCATGGATGTGTGTACGCGGCGGTCAGCAGACGAGGCGTCATCGTGGATGCCGCCAAGAATGGGTAACTTCGTAGCCAGGAACATTTTTCGGCCCGGGGGGGGTGGTATTGGGGATTGCTGATGAAGATTTGGGAAGTGAAGATCAGGGAGGGTTCCGAGTCAAGAGGTCCAACGAGTCAAAAAATCCGATATTGGTCAATTGGTCCCATGAGCAGAAAGATCCAATATGGATCAAAAGGTGTAGCGAGTCAAGAGATCCAACGTGGCAAGAGATCCAAATGAGTCAAGAGGTCCACGAGTCAAAAGATCCAATATTGGTCAACAGGTTCCATGAGCAGGGAGATCTAACATGGATCAAGAGGTGTAGCGAGTCAAGAGATCCAACGTGTCAAGAGATCTAAATGGGTCAAGAGGTAGAAAGGTCAAAAGATCTAATATTGGATATCTTGACCGGTGGCGCACAGGTGCATTTATAGCCCCCTATATATAGTGTCACGGATGGAAAATATTAGGCGAATGTGGACCTAAAAATACCGCGTAATGAAGCGTAACTTCAACGTACAAACTAAAACAAAGTACCGAGTATCCTGCGTCGGCGGCGGAGGGGCGACTCACCCGATTTTGACAGTAACAGCTTCTTTTATACACACAACGTGGCCTAGAACTTTCTGAACAAGGACAAGCGATATGTTACAATAGTCTACTAGAACGCTTCGGAATAAGAGCCTCGAAAGATAAAAAAGAAGAGCTAGGGAGGCGGGGTTCGAACCCCGCGCCTTTGCGTGGGAGTCGCGCGCGATGTCAAATACACCATGCACCCGACGAGCGGAGGCTAGGGTGTATTATATACTCCGTTCACGCTTAAGCTGAGACTAGAAGCTCCGCTTTCTGCGCGAGGTTTCTTTTTTTGCTGACATAAATGTGAACATGCAGGCACGCGCAACCAAAGGACCGCAGAAGCCAGCGAGCTCGCGCTGAAAGCCGAGCTAAGCCTGAAGGATAGTGGGTGGAACTCAAAACGGTTTACCCACTATCCTTCCATCAGAGCTCGGCGTTCTGACGTCACTACAATCTCTGCAAAAGAAGCAGACGAACTTGCGCTGCGCATAAGCTTTCAGCCCCCTTCCGTCTATGCTAGAGCCACTAAATGAGCTGCGCTTAGAGTACCTGCATTCCGGTCCCCGACATTGTTGTGGGCGCCGCCATTTTGGTTCGTATGTAAAGCAGACGCAACTGCCGATCGTCACGATTCAAAAGTGCGACTTCCTCAGCATTAGATTCGGTGTTAGGAAGCTCACGTAATATTGCTTTGCTCTGTCGCGAACTGTTCAAACATTTGTGGAGGGCGGAAAAGCGTCTCCTGCAATTTCAGATAAAGGTTCAGGTAACTGGCAACCATACTTTTGAGGCATAATACGGCCAAGTGTCGTTACACTGAAGCGTAGCTTATTTAGTGGCACTACTATGCGCTACTTCTTTCAACGTAGCTTCCGGCGGATAGCGCGCACCGACGACTCTTCATGGCGAAAAGTAGTGAACCGCTCACCCTGCCATTTTGTGCTCAAAACCATGGGAGGGAGAGAGAACATGTATTTATTTAATGAAAGGTTCACTCGTCTATGGGTTGGTGTCCCTGAGGCGCAAAACCATCGGAATGGAACGTGAATAGCGTACATTTTAGTTTGCTTTGTTGGTATATATATTGCAAATATAACATCAGAGCAAATATACTGTGTTAGTGACGTACACGTACAAATATTGCGAGCAACTACATTGCGGTGCATCTAAAAAATATACTCAAGTGTACTTTTTGTTCCATAAAGGTGCACATAACAAACTGATCTCATCACAGCCAGTTTCATTCGCCACCGCTGCCGACATGTATCGTGGGAACTAGATGGGG